CTGCTGCTGCCCCCCTTTGGCTGCCGCTGCCGCTCTACCTGGACGCTGGCCGCCCCGCCTGTCTATCTACGTGGACTGGCCCCCCGAAGCTGCACGCCTCTCTGTCAATGCGTAGTAGGCAGTTGCAGACTCCAGCGGACCCAGAGAGCTCAGGCGGAGATTATCTGGCACCCGTACCGCCGGACTCTGGCGCGCCCGCCCCGTGTGCCCGTCTCGCTTCCCAGCCGCAGGTTAAGAGAACACGATGCAGACTGTCTCTTCGACCGCTGTGGATTGGGTCAGGATGGAGGTAGGACGTGGGTCGGGTTTGTAGCATTGCAGATGTGACGCAGGCTGGCGAATCTCCGCTTGACCGCCCCATTCCACTCAGGGTGCAAGATAGCCGCGTGATGGAACCCCGGCTTCCTGTCGGCCGTTGCGAGGCAAAGATAACTTACCAACAGGCAAAGTGCTTGAGCCAGATTCAGTCGAGCTTCGCGACTGCCCCCGTTTCGCCCCCATTTCCCCTTTGCCTCGCGTTCCCCCCTGCCCGAGAGCGGCGTGGCGATGATTATTGTTGCTCGCTGGTAGGACGTGCGCGCAGACAGTCAAAATGCCCCCGTATCCAAGGGACATCAAGCGTGCAGCCAAGACCGACCTAAGCTTGCAGGAGACGTATCAAGCAGCAGCGAGATGTTGTGTTGTACCGTGCGCAGTGCTCCTTACCCAGCTGAGGAGATGCTCCCAGTATCTCCAGCGGACCCAGAAAGCTCAGGCAGAGTGAAAATAACATCCGAGCCCTAGGATTCTGACGAGCCGTCAGATGTGCATGTCTCGATAACCAGACGCACGTTGCAGATCATGTAACAGACTGTCAGGAGTGCAGGCACGTGTAATGCGTGGTGATCGACCCTTTGGCCTACCTCACCTCCTGGCTTTTAGGCCGGATAACCGCTTTGTTGGGGCCCGTGCCTTTTTCCGTCGGCCGTTGTGGTGCGAAGGTAACCTTCTCTTCAGGCAAACTAAGTGAGCCCCTGTTTAGTTGAGCTCCTCAACTGCTCCCTCACAAGCCGCCTGCTCTTCTACGCGGACTGGTTCCCCGAAGCTTCCCGCCTCCCTGTCGTTGCGTGGTAGGCAGTTGAAGACTCCGACGGACCCAAAGAGCTCAGGCGGAGTTCATCTGACACCCGTACCGCCGGACTCTGGCGCGCCCGCCCCCATGTGCATATCTCGCTGCCCAGCCCCGCAGGTTCAGGCATCATGATGCAGACTGGCCGTTGTCCCGCCACTGGCTGCAAACGTCATCCATTGATGCGTTCTCTGCGATCACATGCTGGTGGCAATGAGTGTGTTCAGACGTGTTCAGACATGAGCAGGTTGGGTTGGGTGTGTTCAGCCAGTTTGGACTTCATCACTCCCCAGGGTCCGACAAGTTAGTCGTGCTTGGTTTTCCGCCGCCGTGTCTGCCGCCCGTCCTGAGCGAGTGAAAATAACTTCCCCTCAGGTACTTACGTGAGCCCTGTCCCGTCGAGCTCCGTACCGGCACTTGCTAGAGGCTGGTCGCCTCATGCTCCGCAGCAAGTTGTTGAAGCAGACGAAGGGACTGCACTAACAAAGGACCGTCCATTGTTACTGCCTCCTGACCTGTTGCGTGCAGTACTGTGCTGTATGTTCCGCCCACCTGGGTTACTTTTCCCTTGGTGCCGATGCGAATCATCTATTGCTGCGAGCGCCGCCATTCATCTGACCAGCGAATTGCTAAAATCAGTTGTGCAATCCTCCTCCTCCTCCTCCTCCTCCTCCTCCTCCTCCTCACCCTCCTCCGCCTCCTCCTCCTCCACCAGCCCCCTCCCTCCCTCCCCATCTCTTCTCCTCTCCTTCCTCCCACCCTCCATCCTTCCTCTCTCCCGCCGTGTGTCCGTCCCCGCTTGTCAGCGCCAAGCGCCATCTGAGCCCCCGCTCACCTATTGCCTTGGCTCGCGCCCTGCGAGGGCCTCGTCGCGGGGCCACGGCCACTTCTGGGCCGCGAAAGGCGCCTCTACGGGAATGGCTCGAGAAGGGTGCGGTGAGACGGCGCCCCGATGCGGGCATGGGCCCCGCACTTGCGGCAGACGAGATACTGGCCAGCAGGCTGCACAAGGTGGCCCTCGCAAGCGAAGGCCTCGGGCGGCTCGTCGGGCGCATCGCCAACAAGGCCGTCTAGACGGCAACACTGCGCGCCCTGCGAAGGGCGTCTCCGTGCCGCCAGGCTCGCACCGCGGGCAGGCAAAGGTGGAGCGGGGTCGGGCTCCAGCTCGCGCCAGGCTGCTCAAGCTTTACTCTGCTCAGGCGGGTCTGAGCAGGAGGGGGAGGAGGAGGAGGAGGAGAAGGAGGAGGAGGAGGAGGAGGAGGAAGAGGAGGAGGAGGAGGAGGAAGAGGAGGAGGAGGAGGAGGAGGAGCAGCAGCAGCAGGAGGAGGGAGACAGAAGGCGGAAGCCCTGCCTGGCGGAGCTCGCAGGCGCAGCCCCGAAGGCGGGAGCGGGCGGGGCGGAGCGGCGGCCGCTCCCAGCAGGGTTTCTCCTCCCTCCTTTTCTCCATCTCTCCCCCTAGTTTCCCCGACGACGACGACGACGACCGCAGCGGCGGCGGCGGCGGCGGCGACGACGACGACGACCCCCACGTTTCGGAGTCGGGTTGGGCGAGAGTGGGAGCTGGTATAGAGGGGATGATGTCACATCAGCGCATTACGTGGCTGGTTGTCCTGGCGCCTCCCCGCGCCAAACGACCATGTGTTGAGAAAAACGGCACACGGCAGGGCCAAAACCAGCAGCAGCCGTTTTCGCAACACACCAAGCAGGTTTCCCAACCCCGCCTTTCGCAATCCCCCCTTTGCGTACAACCCGCTTCGAGCAAGCCCCCCTGGACCGAGGCCGTCCACGGCGACAACACAACCGAAAGCCGACCGAACAGACCGCGAAGCAGAAACCGACCCAAGCCGACAGGCCGCAGGCAGCCTGACGACGAAGGGCGCAGCAGCGCAGCAGCGACACGACGGCCGGCCAGGCCAGACCGACCGAACGGGGACCTCCTGACCCGGGTCAATTCAGACCCAGGTCAGTCAAGCCTTGCAGAATCCTGCAAAATCCTGCACCCAAACCCGGGTCAATGCGAAGGATCCTGCAAGATCCTGCAGGATCCTGCACCCAAACCCGGGTCAATGCGACCCTGGCCCTGCAGGATCCTGCAAGGTCGGGCGCTCTGGCTGACCCCCGTTTGCACTGACCCCCGTCTCAAGGCTCCTGACTCTGTGGACACCTCTGTGGACCCCCAGGGGCCTCGGAACCTCGTCAAAACAGGGGATGCGAAGCCCCTGGGGGACCCCTCCTGGAAAACCCCCTCCCCAAAAACCCCCTTTGGAACCCTCTGGTCTGTGGACACCTCTGCGGACCCCGGGCCCTCGACCACGATCTTCTCCACGCGCGGCGGGCGTCCCGGCGTCCAGGCACCCGCCTCCCAAAGCCCAGCCTCACCGGGACGGCCGGCGGCCCCTGCCGTGTCGGGGGGGCCATGTCGCCTGAGCCCACCCCACCCCCGACCGGGGCCTCCGACGACGCGACGACTGCTCCCGAGCCTCGGGGCCCCGGACCTCTCGACACCACCACTGGAGGGGGAGCGCCTGAGGAGGGCCCGGCTCGGGGGAGCATCAATTTGGAATCGGCAATACGTCGCCGGCAGATCGGCGCTATGCCCACGATGGTTAAACGCGCAAGCTGCTAGGCGGAGTGGGCTATCGGACCCCCATCGGCGATGAACGGGCGATCGAGGGTCGATGCATTCCCTCCCTGAGACTCCCCCTCCAAACGTTGCCCCTGACCCCGCCGCTAGGGCCGTCTCTCCATCCCGAGTCAACCTGTCACTCCCAAGGCCCATCAGCGGCCCCGAGGAGCCGAAGATGTCGGAAGCGCTCGGGCACAACAGCCTGGAGCCGCCCTGGAGGTCTCAGATCAGAACCCGCTCAAGATCGGCCCCCAGGCCCCTCCAAGGGCCTACCCCGGCCAGCTCTTTCCGCCACGGATCGAATCTCGACGGCCCCACGGCTCGACACGGGCCCCCTGATGTCGAGATCGAGGCAAAAACTCATCCTCCTCCTTCTCCTCCTCACCTCCTCTTCCTCCTCCTCCTCCTCCTCCTCCTCCTCCTCCTCTTCCTCCTCCTCTTCCTCCTCCTCATCTGGACGTCTGTGGCGCCTCCCCGCCGTGTCTTGGCAGACGAAGGACGGTAGAAAACAAACTTCTTCGCCATCGGGGACGCCTGCATGCTAGCAGCTGGAGAATGCACATCGTGACGCGCAGCCGCAGGAGTAAAAACCTTACAGCCGCCCAGGGACAGGCGTCCCGATGGCGGCAATCGGCGGCGAGCCCGGGGGGGAAGTGAGAAGGGTCGGGCCTGCCCAGAAGGCTCGATGTCCCCTGGCCTTCTGAGAAATGTATCACACCTTCTCCGAAGACACTGGAAACTTCTCAGAAGGCCGGACCGTTTCTGAGAAGTTCCGCCGCCTTCAGAGAAGGCCTTTTCCTTCCCACTTCCCCCCTCGCTCGCCGCCGAAGACAAGTTCTTGTTGCACCGCTCTTCGTCCGCGAGATGTCGTGGACCGCGGGCGCGCGCGGCCGGCGTCAAAGGGCAGAAAAAACACCCTCAAAATAAGCACCACGTCGAACAGGGCAAGGCCGTTTAGTAAACACCTTGAGATGGTTCGTAAACGCCGATGATCGGGGTCGCGGTGGGTTTTCTTCCCTCGATATTCGTCTGCGAAATGACGAACGAACACCACACACCCATACCCATAGGGAGGCCGGAAGGAAGAGGACTGGCTATATGGGTGTGTGGGCGCGGGCTGTCGAACACCTGGGGCGGTTCCCGTTCGAGCGGGGGCCCCCATCCCACAACACGAACCCATAGCCCCGCCCGCCCCCCCTATGGGCATGGCTGTGTGCTGTTCGCTCGCCACGAAGTGTGCTGGGCCCAGGGGCACGCGCGCGCGGCCTCCGCGCCCGGCGGCGCCGCGCTGGGCCGCGCAGCGGCGGCCACGGCCGGGGCCTCCTGCACCCGACGCGGCGCGGCGCCCCCTCTCCCGTGGGGGGGCCCCGAGGACGAATTGGCGGCGCGCACAAGTGGGTAACCCTTACGACCCTACTTGGGTCAGAGACTCGGATGTCAGGTTTGCTCTTACCGACGATTGGGTTGCTGAGGCTTGATCGTACCCTGCGAGCACGACCCCAAGTCGCCCCAGAAGCTCCAATGCAAACGCACCTCGAAGAGTGCCCGCCTCGAGTAAGCGGCGCGCACAAGGGGGTAGGGGGAGGGGGGGAGGCTCCTTAGAAGGAGGCTGCTTCTTTGAAGGCGCCGTGCCTACATCTATATGCGTAGAACTGGCGCCGTCTAGGAACCAGGAGTGTTTCTCAGAGGCCCTCCCCCCTCCCCCTACTCCCGTCTGCGCGTGGCTGAACGAGGGGCCTCAAACTTTTGAAGTCCGCGGGCGCCAAGTGGTCAAGGACCAGACGCCAGTCAGCAAGCGGTGGGATGCACCAGGAGCGAATTGAGGCACCAATGCAAAGAAGACTCGGCGCGAAGGAGGTGCCGTGGAAGAACTTGCAAGCGAGCTGCGGAGCAGCGGGTGCCGAGGCCGGCCTGGACGAGGGGCTTCAGACAGACGGAGAGGTCGAGGTGGTGTGAAACCCCTCCATATGCGACGCATAGAACATACTAGTACCATGCCCCCTCCTCGGAGGCTCACGGCCGAACCGAGCATATAGTACAAGCATCCTGCAATACATCGTTCCCCGAGCGGTATGGCCAGAAAGCGCCCGCCACCAAGCATACACTATAAGATTTCTGAGCGTGCGCGTCGCCCCTGCCGGGGGCGGCACACACAAAACACAAATATGTTCAGGTGATGCCGACTTTACACTGCATCTCTCCGCTCCGCGTCCGGTCCCATTGTCGACGATTCTCGCTCTACGCAGCACAGTAGGCAATTTGGCCCGCAGAGCCCCTGGGGGGGCGGAGCGCGATGCCTCGATTCTTTTCTCTTGGGACTCGATCCAATACCAGGGGCCTCAAATAGTGTGGATTCCATCTAAGATCCTTCCCAACCTCGGGGCCGCATCCCTCAAGGCTACGTCTATGAACCGCCGACTCCTGGAGCCGGCAGTCGTCAGGCCCGCCCGTCGGCCGCTGCCGCCGCGGCCAGTGCCCACAAATCGACCAGACGCCGCCGCCGCCGCTGCTGCTGCCAATGCTGCCGTCACCACACCACGCTTGATGCCCTCACTCCTACTTTTCGTAGCACCAGGATGTGTTGTACCACTCCTCCGGGTATTGCTTCTACTGTTGCAACGGTAGGACTAGCAACGACAAGATTAGCACCGATACTAGCCATCATCATCATCACCATCATCATCATCATCATCATCATCATCATCATCATCATCATCATCATCAGCATCATCATCATCATCAACATTACCATCACCATCATCATCATCATCATCATCATCATCATCATCATCATCATCATCATCATCAGCATCGTCATCGTCATCGTCATCTTCATCTTCATTTTCATCATAATCATAATCAACGTCATCATCACCATCATCATCAGCAGCAGCATCATCACCATCATCAACAAGATCACCTTCAGCATAATCATCAACGACAACATCATCGTCATCAGCATCATCATCAGCAGCAGCATCGTCAGCGTCATCATCCTCGTCAGCACGATCGTCGTCGTCGTCATCATCGTCATCATCAACGTCATCATCATCACCACCAATAGCAGGATCGTCATCAGTACCATCAGCATTATCATCATCAGCAGCATCATCATCATAACCGACGTCTTCGTCAACGTCATCAAGTTCGTCATCATCATCAGCAGAAGCATCATCATCATCACCATCATCATCATCATCAGTATCGTCGTCAACATCGCCATCATCGTCATCACCGTCATCGGCATCATCAGCATCATCACCATCATCAACAGCATCAGCATCCTCAGTAGCAGCATAATCATCATCAGCATCAGCATCCACATCGACGTCGTCGTCGCCAAGCCTCCGCACCACCATCCTCATCATGAGCGCCATCATCATGAACATATATCTAACCATATACCCGCTGGAAACGCCAATGGAAATTGATTGGCCGCTGGAACGTTGTTCCATAGTTTCTAGCTGACGCGTTGTTCATTATTTCTGGGCCTCCAGCACGCAACGTGTTGTAATCGGTTCCCCCGTCAATCAGATAGAAAGTGTTTTCGTGGATTCCAGTTTCGCCCTGTGCGGGCTCACCCTGACCTCCCAGGGGCCATCTGGGAGCGGTTGCTTGTGTGAGGCAGTAGTCAGTATTCAATACCTTGCCGATGCGTTTCAACACCTGTTCGCTTCCTCTGCTGGATGTGGCACGTTTCGGTGGATCCAAAACGCTTGCCCATAGCAAAGTGAGTATGGCTTCCGTCTGCGTGTATCGTTTTAAAGTCCACGCCTTTGGCTCACAAAGCGAACCACTAAACCCGTCAACGCCATAGTCATGGGTTCCACATCATCTCAGTGGTCATCTGCACCACCCCCACAACCATAGCATCAACCTGATCGTCGACACCATCGTCGTCATCATCCTCATCACCCGCAGTATCGCAATGTATGCAGCGTGGACCCAAAACTGAGGTGCAACAACATCGAGAGCATTGAAGATGGTAAGTCCAAAACGTGGGCACGGCGATGATGATGATGTTAATGATGATGACTATGGAGATGACGATGATGGGGATGATGGTGGTGGTGATGATGACGATGATGACAGTGGTGGCATTGATGGGGAAGGCGACGACAACGGCGATGACGATGATGATAAGGACGTCGATGGAGACGATAACATCATCGACGGTGATGGTGATGCAAATGATGGTGCTGGTGATTGCGATGGCAAAGATGGCGCTGGCCGTGATGCTGGCGATGGTGCTGATGACGATGATGCGGAAATGCACGCGAGTAGAAATTGTGACGGACTTCAGATCGGAAAACAACTGGCTGGTCACGTAGTTTCAACAAATCCCACCAGCCCTCTGGGCGTCGGTGGTTTAGAGCGTTTCTTCTTCCACCCCTCCTTCTTCCACTTCGGGGAGGGGTTTACCCCTCCCCCCACCCCCTCCCCACTGACCTGGACAGGGGGGGCCGCGACGCGTTGGAGCGTCCAAGATGAGCCAAGACGACTCCAAGAGGGCCTCAGGGAGCCCAAGATCGCCTCCAAGATGGTTCAAGATAGCGCAAGATGCCTCAAGATGGTTCCGAAGATGCTCCAAGACGCTCCAAGACCGCCCCAAGACGGCTCTAAGTGTCCACTAGAGCTCCCCTCGGATGCCCCCAAGAAGCCACAATGTTTCAAAACCCTAGGGGAAATCCATGTTTTGGGCGTTCTCGCGCTTTCGCTTCCGATGCCCACCCGAGGCGTCAAGATAGCTCCAAGATGGCTCAAGATAGCTCCAAGAAGGGCCCAAAAAAGCCCGAAGACGGCGCAAAGAGCGCCCAAGAGCGCTCCAAGAGCCCTCCAAGAGCGGTTCAGGAGGCGATTTTAGAAACTTTCCAGGAGCGACGCTAATTAGTGCTTCCGCTTTCTTTGACAAGAGGCCCCCAGGAGGCCGCAGGATGGCCCCAAAATGGCCCCAAGAGGCCCCCCAAGAGGCCCCCAGGAGGCCCCCAAGAGACCCCCAAGAGGCCCCAAGAGACCCCCCAAAGGCACCCAAGGGGCAAAGATGGCCCCAAGAAGCGCCCAGGAGGCCCCCAAAGGCCCCAAGATGGCCCCAAGAGGCCCCAAGAGGCCCCCAGGAGACCCCAAAGAGGATCCCGAACGGCCCACAGAGGCCCCCCGAGGCACCCAAGATGCCGAAAAGCCCCTCAGGACGACCCTCTACTCGCCTGGGCGTCGTTTCTGGACGGGCTGGTGGGGACACGCGAAGCGTCTAGAATTCCTGTTGAAATGCTGGAAACTAATAGTGTTATATTGTTTTCGACGGGTGCGCGAGGAGACTCTCGCGCTTGGGCCGCATGTCGTTATATATACGCCGATCCGGCGTGTGAACTACAAGAGCCTCAGCAAGAGCTTCAGCTCGGAACCCAAGCAAGAGCTTCAGCTCTGCTCGGGGGGGGTCGCCGGGGTGGCTCTGCCGGGGAAGGGGGGGAGGGGGGGGGGGGGCGGTCCCACATCTGGCGTGTTCTTCGTGATTTGCGCATCCGACACCCCCCCTAGGGAAGGGGGGAGGGGGGGAGGCGCGGTCCCAAATCTGGCGTTTTCTTACGATTTGCGCATCCCAAAGATGTTTCGGGTGGTCCCAAGGACCCCCCTCAGATCTAGCCGCTACCACCCCCAGGACCCTCCCCTCGGAACCCTCCCTGGACCCCCCCCCTGGACCGCTCCAGGCACCCCCCCAGAGGAGAAGAAAAGAGGACTGGAAGAATCGAAGACGGAGGAGGCCACACAGCCGCGAAGATCACCGAATCCAGAGCCCCCCGGATCGGCGGCACTGCTAGGAGGCCCTTACAATAGATGTGTATATATGTGTATATATATATATATACACACCTATACGACCGCCCTGCGGGCGATAAGGAGGTTGGGGGGGGATTGGGAACAAATGCCCACCCTGACTGACCTCCAGCTTGATATCACCTCTCTCTCTCTCTCTGTCTCTCTCTCTCTCTCTCTTTCTCTCTCTCTCTCTCACTCTGTGTCTCTCTCACTCTTGATGGATTGGGTTGGATGGATTGGATTGGGTGGGATAAGGTAAGATGGGACAAGATGGGTTGGATAAGATAAGATGGATTGGATTGGACAAGATGGATTGGATAAGATGAGCTGGATTGGATAAGAAAGCCCGCCGCAGGCGCCGTCAAGAATGAATTGATGGATTGGGTTGGGTGGATTGTATTGGATGGGATAAGGTGGATTGGATAAGAGAAGATGGGTTGGATTGGCCCACCGCAGGCGCAGAAATAAATGAATTGTTGGATTGGGTTGGGTGGATTGGACTGGGTGGAATAAGATAAGATGGAACAAGATGGGTTGGATAAGATAAGATGGTTTGGAGTGGACCAGATGGCATGGATAAGATAAGCTGAATTGGATAAGAAAGCCTGCGGCAGGCGCCGAAAAAAAATATATGAAATTAGCGACAATCGTTAGCGCTGGGACGCCCGGGACACCCGGGACACCCGGGACACCGTCCGGCCCAACTGCGACACCTCCCGGCCACCGGCGGACGGGAAACGGACTTTCGCTCCTACTGACACCCGGGACACCCGGGACACCGCCCGGCCCAACCCAGCCACCGGCGGACGGGAACGGACTTTCGCTCCTACTTCGGCCTAGCTCCTAGCTACAGGAGGATCACGCGCAGCTTCGCTTCGCCCGCACGCACGACACGAACACGAAACCGAAACCGATGTCCCGGTGGGGGGTCTCCGTTTCACTGCGATCTCAACCCCCAACCTCCGATACCTGTACGACCACCCTTCGGGTGATAAGGAGGCTGTGGGGGGGGGAGAGGGGGGGAACCAACATCTGACTCAATCGATCTCACTATCGATGGACACCACGGGACGCTTGTCGATCTCACTACCGATCTCACTACCGATCTCACTATCGATCTCACTCAACGGGACACCACGGGACACCACGGGCCACCACGGGACACCACGGGACACCGCGGGACACCTCTCGATCTCACTATCGATCTCACTCAACGGGACACCGCGGGACACCACGGGCCACCACGGGACACCACGGGACACCGCGGGACACCTCTGGATCTCACTATCGGTCTCACTATCGATTTCACGATCGATCTCACTCAGCGATACACCATAGGACATCAAGGGACACCTCGGGACACCACATCGATCTCACGATCGGTATCACTATCGATCTCACTATCGATATTACACAACGGGACGCCACGGGACACCTCGGGACACCTCCCGACCTCACTATCGATCTCACTCAACGGGACACCGCGGGACACCTCGGGGCACCACATCGATCTCAGTATCGATATCACTATCGATCGCACTCAACGGGACACCACGGGACACTTCGGGACACCTCGGGAGACCTGTCGATCTGAAGATCCATCTCACTATCGATCTCACTCAACGGGACACCACGGGACACCACGGGGCACCACATCGATCTCAGTATCGATCTCACTATCGATTTCACGATCGATCTCACTCAACGGGAGACACCACGGGACACAGGCGGGACACCGCGCGGCACCGGCCGCCGGAGGAGAAACATTTGGTCCGGCCGCGGCCCAGCCACAGGAGGATTTCGGAACACCCGCGGGACACTGGCGGGACACCGCGCGGCACTGGCCGCCTGAGGAGATACATTTGGTCCGGCCGCGGTCCAGCCGCAGGAGGATTTCCTCTCGCCCGCCCACGCAGCTTCGCCTCACCCGCACGCCCGCACGGCACGCACGGCACGCACGACACGAACCCGAAACCGAAATCCGCCGACCCTGTCGGCGTGTGTGAAGGGCTTCTCCGTTCGATTCGTCGTTTCCGTCGTCTCCACTGTCCCCCTCCCAGGGCTCTCCTCCTCAAGCGCGCGTTATCCAAAGCGAAATAAACGACGTCGTAGTAGAGTCGAAGGGAAGCCCCTTCCCTTTGATACCTTCCCCGCGGGGGGGAGGGGGGTGGGGAGGGGGGCGGGGGGGCGGGGCAGATACGACGCCCGCCGGGGCGCACTTCCCTCGAGCGGGCACGCACGGGATGCATTTCCTCCTCCTCCTGGTCCTCCTCCTCCTCTTCCTTTTCCTCCTCCTCCTCCTCCTCCTCTTGCTCCTCTCCTCCTTCTCCTCCTCCTCCTCCTCTTCCTCCTGCTCCTCCTCCTCCTCCTTTCCTCCTCCTCCCGCAGAGGCGTCCCGGGAGCGGGCCCCGAATCAAAATACCACCCCCCTAGGGCGCATTTTCCTCGAGCGGGCACGCCCGAGATGCACTTCTTCCTCTTCCGGGAGCACGTCCCAAGTCAAAAAATCACACTCCCGGGGCGCACTTTCTTCGAGCGGGCACACAAAGGATGCACTTCCTCCTCCTCCTCCTCCTCCTCCTCCTCCTCCTCCTCCTCCTCCTCCTCCTCCTCCTCCTCCTCCTCCTCCTCCTCCTCCTCCTCCTCCTCCTCCTCCTCCTCCTCCTCCTCCTCCTCCTCCTCCTCCTCCTCCTCCTCCTCCTCCTCCTCCTCCTCCTCCTCCTCCTCCTCCTCCTCCTCCTCCTCCTCCTCCTCTCCTGTTCCTGCTCTATCTCCTCCTCCTCCTCCTCCTCCTCCTCCTCCTCCTCCTCCTCCTCCTCCGCTTCCTCTCCCCACTCCTAGCCCTTTCGACCAGGGTCGGCGGCACCGACCGTCAGGCCTCTCCAATCGATTTCCCGGTAGGGGGGGGGGTCCGTGTCACGTCGGACTCACCCCCCGCCCCCGATGTGTATTTTATATTATATTATATATATATGGCAGAGCTGGCGGATTTGGGATGCTTCTTGGGTGCCTTCGACATGCCCGCGCGTGGCATTTTGGGGGGAGGGAGGAGAGCGGAAAACAACAGCGGGGTTCCAGCGGCGCTGCCACGAGATCACTGCTGCTTGCTATAAGCGCCGGCCTGGGCGAACAATTCCTGGCCCACTCAACAGAGAGACGCTAATAGAAAGATCTACTCGTGACAGCTATTGCCTGAACGAGCGGTCGAGGGGGAGGAGGAAGAACGTAGCCCAAGTCGGGAAACAAAACCATGGCCCAAAAAAATCAACAGTGGTCCCGAACTCGGGCGTGACCAGAGAAAGTCAATGGGGCGGAAAATCGAGCGGTTGTCACGATACGAATTCACCCACACAGCGCATCGGCGCCGCGCTGGGAGCAAGAAGAGGCGAGTGGAGGAGGAGGGACGAGGGACGAGGCCTGGCGCAGCCGTCCGCCTGGACGAACAGCTGGCGGCACGGCCGAGGCGGCCAGTCCTCGGGCGAGGACGAGGATGGCGTCCACCACGAGCAGCACCGTGGGCCCGCCCCCGAGAAGCGGGCCAGACGGGCCATCAGCGTAGCCGAGGACGTCGCTCCCGCTGCACTCCCCTAGGGAGCCAGGCGGGCCGTAGGATGAAGTGCGCGGAGTTGCCATCGAAGAAGTGGGCGAACTCGCTGCACAGAACATGACGTGGTCAAACACCTCCGTCATGAATTCGAGCCGGCCGCGGCACGAACTTCACGGCCTGAACCACACCCTGGATCAGCGCGGGGTGCATGCCACGCATGACCTGCAGGCAGTCCAGCAGCCGCTTCGTCGCGTGCATCAGCGACTGGCGCCTGCAACGTGAGTAAAACGTTCTCCTTCGGGTGAAGGCCACGGAGGAGCCGCTTTCTCCTCCACTTGATGTTAGAGAGGTAGGTATTCCCCTTCCCCTCTCCAGTGGGCGCTCCTCCGCAACTGGCCATCAGCTGCTTGGACACGCCTCCGCCCGACCATGCCACGCACACCTCGCAGAAGACGGCGGGCCCCGCACGACGGAGCCGATGCCCGCTGCAGACGTGCACGTCGGTGGAGTGCCATTCGGAGACCAGCGGCTCGGCAGCACGATCCAGGCCAGGCACGGTCTCTGACCCGACCCTCGACCTCCAGCGTGCATCTCCCAGCCATGGCCATTTGCCTCACGCTCAGCTCGATCAAGAGAGCCAATGGCAAAGGCACAGCCAGCAGAGACCTGGACTCTGGTGGCACCACAAGAACTGGATCATGGCCTCCGCGCGCAGCTCGTCCACTCTGTTGGCCAGGCACGGGGCACGAAGGTAGAAGTTCCACGCCTCCATTGACCCCGAACTGGTTCGTCTCGCACAGCGCCTGCTGACAAAGGAGCCATCTCGCAGCTTGGCCACGACGTGGGCCGTGACCTGCACGGGCGGTTGCGAAGGAGGAGGAGGAGGAGAAAGGAGGAGGAGAGTGGCGGCAAAATCCAGTCAAAAGCCAGGATCAGTGCTCGAGCCAACCTGCCGCAGGCGAGCCGTCGCGCGCATCCTTGGACTGGGTGAACGGGCAACAATAAAGATTTATAGACCCCCATATGGCCCAGATGGCCACGCGAAGAAATTCACCGCGGGAAGCGAGAGGAGTGAGGAGCCGCGACATGCGCGCGGGTGGCCTGCACTTGACATAATGGCAAAATAGTATGTAGTTGTCTTACGATGTTAGCGAGTGCGCGCACGCTGAAATCTGGCATCTGCCATTGGAATCGAATCAACGGTTGTTGTCAAAACGTTTACACATCTGTCAACAGCACTCGTGTTGGAGGCATTTCGACATATGCGCGCCCCTGTGTGGCAAGCGTTGTGCCAATTGTCACGTGTTCTTTACAATAAAACGCACTCGTTGGATCAACGCGTGTGCCCCGCATGCTAGTATCCTCCCGCTCCTCCTCCTCCTCATCATCATCCTCCTCCTCCTCGTCCTCCTCCTCGTCCTCCTACTCCTGTTCTTCCTGCTGTTCCTCCTCCTCCTCTTCCCCCTCCCCCTCCTCCTCCTCCTCCTCTTCGTCGTCCTCCTCCTCCTTCATCTACTTCATGTTTCAACATCAGTACCATCATCAGCATCGTCGGCATAATCATCAGCATCATCGTCATCATCGTCGACATCATCAGCAGCAACAGCAACAACAGCACAATGATAATAACACTACCAACCACAACAACAACCACAACAACAGCAGCAGCAACAACAACACTAACAACAACAACGCCAACAACAACAACAACAACAACAACAACAACAACAACAACAACAACAACAACAACATTAACCATTTTAAAGCTGTACGTTCTTACTTGCCCGCGAGTCATTCAACACGTATACCCTACACCCTCGATGCCCGCCCTCTTCGTCTTCGATCACACCCCTTTCGGGCCGGCGGGCTTAGACGTACGGGCAAACCGGAACGGGCGGACAATCCTTCGGGGTCGTACATCTCTTTGCCCGCCATTGGAATTGGCGCGGGCCCTGCAAGAGGAGGAGGGGAAGAACGAGGGAGAGTGGGAGGAAGGGGAGGGGGAAGGACGAAGGAAGAGGGAAGATACCACGTTGTGAAGGCGTCCTTGGCGCGTGCGTGGTTCCTGAGCGCCGAAACGCAATTCCAGAATAATTTGTGAGGACGTCGCACGCGAGAGCGCAGTCCTGAGTACATCTAGCGGAAGCGGGGGCCCTGACTAAGTTGCGAGAAGTCTCAAGCGGGAGCGCCGTTCCTGAGCAAATTGCACGGAAGTCTCAGGCGGGAGCGGGGGTCCTCACTAAATTGCGAGGAAGTCTCAGGCGGGAGCGCCGTTCCTGAGTCAATTGCGCGGAAATGTCAGGCAGGAGCGGGGGTCCTGAGTAAAATTCGAAGAAGTCTCAGGCGGGAGCGCCGTTCCCACGTAAATTGCACGGAAGTCTCAGGCGGGAACGGGGGTCTTGATTACATTGCGAGGAAGTCTCAGACGGGAGCGCCTTTCCTGAGTAAATTGCGCGGAAGTCTCAAGCGGGAGCGGGGGTCCTGAGTAAAAATCGAAGAAGTCTAAGGCGGGAGCCGTTGTTGTTGTAGCCCGGGGGGCAGGGGCACAGTTTGAGCAGGAAGACTTTCCTTGAGAAAAAACAAGGAGCGAGCCCCGGGGGTGGCACTTCAATCGAAAAAAATCAATGTGCACCGGTGGGGGGGGATCAACAAGAATTATTCTTCAAGAGTGAGAATTCAACAACAACAACGACAACAACAACAGCAACAACAACAACGACGACGACGACAACAGCAACAACAACAAGAACAACAACGACAACAACAGCAGCATCAGTATCATCATAACCATCACAATCACCATCACCATGATCTGCATCAGAATCAGCATCAGCATCCTCATCATCAGCACCATCATCATCATCATCAGCATCAGCATCATCATTATCATCATCATCATCATCATCATCATCATCATCATCAGCAGCAGCAGCATCGTCATCATCAGCATCAGCAGCATCATCATCACCATCATCAGCAGAATCCGCCGACCCCTTGGGTCATCGGCGTGCGAGATGCTTCCCCATCCCCAAACCCCTCCCCCAGGAACCCGGTCCGGTCGATTTGGAGAGGGGTGGGGGTGCCCACCACGAGCGACTCACGACGCTCTTCTGGGCCCAAAAGGGCCCAAATACGGGCCAAGAAGGCCCCAAGAGGCCTCCCAGACGTTCCAAGAGGCCCGCAGACGCCCCAAGAGACCGCCTAGACGCCCTAAGAAGCGCCCAAGAGGCCCCAAGAGGCTTCCAAGACGCCACACGATGGCTCCAAGACGCCCGAAGAGACCTCCAAGACGCCCCAAGAGACCCTCAAGAGGCCCCCGAGGAGCGCCCCAAGAGGCCAAAACCGTTGATTTTCATTGGTTTTTAAAATGTTTTCGTCATTTTCGCCTTTTCGGCTTTCCGCCGCTCCAAAACAGCCCAAGAAGCTCCCAAGACTGCTCCAAGACGGCACAAGAGGCCTCCACGACGCCCCCAAGACGGCCCAAGAGAGCCCCCAGACGGCCCAGGAGCCGCCCAAGGCGGCCCAAGAGAGCCCCCAGACGGCCCAAGAGCCGCCCAAGACGGCCCAAGAACCTCCCGGAAACGGGCCCAAGAAGGGCTCCAGAGAGAGACCACGCACCGGAAAACCCAGCCTTACGCCCCAAGAGGCCCCCAGGAGGCCCCAAGAGGCCCCAAAGAGGCCCCAAGAACCCCCCAAGAGGCCCCCAAGACGTTCCAAGAGGCGCCCAAGAAGCCACAAAAAGGCCCCAAAACGGCCCCCAAGAGCCTTCGAAACTGCTCCAAGAGGCCCGCAAGAAGCCCCCCCGCAAGATCCCAACGGACATTTCCGAACACACCGGTTTTTCGAGTCGCGCCCAGCCCCATAACCCGGAGCCTCATCTCAGTGTCCCCCTCCTCCTCCTCTTCCTCCTCCTCCTACATTTCCTCCTCGTTCCCCTCCTCCTCTTCCTGCCCCGCTTCAGCTCATCCTCACCGATGCTTCCCCCCCCCCATTTTCCGCCTCACCCCCCATCCTCCTCTTCCCGTCCTCCCTTTTCTGCCCAGTACGCGCAACCGATTGGGCATCATTTGCACGTCTTGCACTTTAGGGTGCCCTTCTTTGCGTCGCGCGAGACATTGTGCGGGTCGGGGAACGCCGACTTTGGTAGTCCTCTCTTCCACGCGCCGCTGAACTGATAAGCCTGGCAACTGCGCGCTGTGAACCCGAGTTCCTCGCAGCTTCTGCACACCACTTTAGCTCCTTTCGTTGCTCGATGATGTTCCACTTGCTTCTGCTTCAAATGTTTCGTGTCCGAGAACGCGCCTTTGCACGCCGCGCACGTCAGCGGCTTCGCGTCCGCCTCTGCTTTCCGCTTGCGATTCTCTGCATCCGCCTCCAAAAAAAAAACAAGGGGTCGGCGGTGTGGCGCAAGCCTAAAGAATCATCATTATCATCATCAGTATCCTCAACATCATTCACTCATCTTGCTCTCCCTCCGCCACTCCCGGCCGCCCTACGACAACGCGACGCTGCGCTGCCAGGGGGCGGCGGCGAGCAGCCACCCGCCGCTGCTCCTGCCCGCCACCAACGAAGCGGTGCCGCAGCAACACCTCCGTGTAGGGCCGCTTAGTATGGTCGCGCACGAGCGTCTTTCTGCGGGCCGGCCGGAGGACGAGAGGGGGGATGACGGTGAGGATGATGATGGTGATGATGGTGAGGATGACGAGGATGGTGAGGATGGTGGTGGTGGTGATCGTGATGGTGATGGTGCTGGTGATGGCGATGGCGATGGCGATGGTGATGGTGATGGTGATGGTAATGGTGATGGTCGTCCGTCGGATGAAGCAGGTGCACAGGCCTCCTCGTGGCCGCTTCTCGGATAACGTGTCCAACAGGGTCTTGGTGCTTTTGGGTGCTTGAGGGATAACTGCAAAAGGACGCGGCTAACCCCAACCTCATTCGGGGTGCCCCGATGGGCGCTGAAGGAGGAGAACAATCAGACGCCAAGCCTTCTGTCATCGAGCCTTCAAGTGAATCATTCTGGTTTTCGTCCGTGCCGACGTCGAAGCCTGGGGGCGGGAGTGCACAAATCAAATTGCCAGGTCTCAGCAAGCACTGCGAGGATTTGTCCTGCAACTTGGAAAATGAAAAACCTCGCTTGTCCGACTGCGCGCGCTATGAAAACGCGGACACGCGCGGGCGCGCCATCCAGTAAACGAGCGTCGCAACCACGGGGGGCATATCTTACGAATGGCCCCGCTTGCGTGAACACGCACCACTGGCGATAGAAACGATCGAAACGCGGCGTAGGGCATGCCAGCGCCTCGCGCTGGCCGAATCACCCGCAATCTGCGGGTATCCCGACCTGCGAGCGCCGCCACTGCACATGCTGCAAAATCGTGACCAGCGCGGGATATCCGCCGCCTCCAGACGCCTGCCTGGCACTAGGCATTCACCCCCGCGCGTAGGAGGAATGGATGCATCCTGGGGCCTCCTGTGGCCTCCTGATGCCTCCTAGGACCTCCTGTGCTGGGGTCGCCTGGAGCCTGCTGGAGCCTCCTGTGACATCTTGGGGAGGATCCGTACCCACGAGCCTGAAAACAGGCAAACCGCTTGAGAGATCCTCGCAATCTGGACCACCAGGGGAGCGAGAACCAGCGCCGACCTCGAGACATCCTCAAAATCTGTTCCGAAAGCAGATGATGTCGGGTGGTGAAACAGGCAAACCGCTCGAGAAATCCGAGCCATTGCGGAGCGAACGGAGGAGCGCAATACCCCCTGGCGGTTCCCTTTTGAGGGGGCTGAAACCCGCAATTCGCTCGAGGCGTCCTCAAAAATCGTTCCGCCATCATCATCATCATCATCATCATCATCATCATCATCATCATCATCAGCATCATCAGCATCAGCATCATCATCATCACCATCACCATCACCATCACCATCACCATCACCATCACCATCATCACCATCATCACCGTCATCACCATCATGCTCATAACATTAAATAGCAAGATACAAAACGCCCTTCCAGAACATAACAGACCATCACGTACCATAACATATGATACCGGAGAAAAAAAAAACAATCAGGGCTATAGGGCTGGGGGGCTATAGGGCTATAGGGCTATTGAGCTAGAGGGCTGCAGAGTTGTAGGGCGATGGGGCTATTGGGCTATTGGGCTATAGGGCTATAGGGCTATAGAGCTTAGGGCTATAGGGCTATAAGGCACCACCGGGCACCCCCAGGCACCCCCCGGCACGGCCGGGAACCCGGGCACCCGAGCACCCGGGCACCAGGGCACCCCCGGGCACCCCCCAGGCACCCGGGCCCCGGGTACCCCCGGGCACCCGGGCACCCGGGCGTGCAGCGAAAATCGGTGACAAACCGAACCTAACCATATGAATCCGCTAGGACCCCTACAGGCATGCTCTGATTAGGAAACAATGACAACAACAACAAAAAACTGCCAGAACATAGCATACCAGAACATAACCCAACATGGTTTCAAATATCTTAACATAACATGAGTCGGAGCGGTGTCGGTAATAACAAGAACCCCATCCTGTGGATATGGGGAAGAAACCTGCTGTGCATCGTAAGTACACCGCCTTGACATCCCACAACATGTAGACACCCAGGTCGATTGCACAACGGTGTCACTTTCGAAGTGGATTTCGAGATGGATTTCGAAGTGGATTTCGAAATGGATTTCGACATGGATTTCGATTGTGGATGTCGGTTTGAATGTCGACGTCCCCGAAGGCCTTGTTTGCCGAAGTGAGTTTCGAAATGGATTTCAAATGAAAATGTGTGGACCTTTTTTTTGTGGCACCCCTCACGCAGTTGAGCGGCCGCGAAAATCCACAACGAATCCACATCGAAATGCACATCGAAATTAACACCGAATTTCTTGGGGAGGCAACGCGCGGCAGGGCGGAACAGACGTGTGCTGCGGCTGAGGAGGTGATTCAAGAATGGCTTGACGGGCACGCTGGGATGGCCGCCTGGGCGGAGGAGGTCGCAGGGAGTTGTCATATGTTTGTCGTCAGGAGGAGTTCACCCACCGCACGCAAGAGGCACTCGCCCCCCGCGCGTAGGAGGCACACACTTTCAGGGCGAGGAAGAATGTAGGAATGCGAAGCGTGCTTACCCACAAGTGGTTGAATCTGCATGCCCCCCCGTCGAACGCGGAGCCGCGGTTGCGACGAAGCGACAAGTTTACATTAGAGAAAGCAGTTCAACAAAAACTACACAATTTGGGTCTCCGCTGATTGCTTTGCCGATCCGTGGCTTCCCTGCCTGGAGCTACTATGAACGAAAGAGCACCAAATTGACGCACCACCGCAAGAAGCTCGAAAATACAACCCTCGGTTGCCACTTCCAAGCATGGTTCGCTACTGCGGCGCCCGACGGGCGCCCTGCCAAGGAGAAAGACGAGGAGGGAGGAACGCGCCGAGAGAGCAGAGGATGTTGGTCAGTGCTGGAAGCGCGGGGAGGGGGGGGGGAAGGGGTGCGAACCCCACGGACAGCCCCCGAGCATGGCGTCGCGACGGAATGTGGCGAGGAGGGGGGGGGGGGCGGGGGACGAAGAAGGATGGGGGAAGGGGAAGACGGATATCCACGAGAAAGAAGAACGATAAAAAACGGGGGGGGGTCGGCGCGAAAACGGAAGGGGATGAGGGCGAGGGGGATGCTGATGACGAGGGGAGGGGGGGGCAAAAAGAAATAGGATGATGAAGAAGACGCCATGGACGAGGAAGCGCGCGATAACGACAAAGAATCGAAGACGTGGGGAGATAAGGGGGATGAGGAAGAGAAGCAGCAACATCAGCAACTGCTGAACGAAGCAGAATGAGCAAGCGGAGGAGGTGGAGATGGAGGATGTAGTTTGTTATACCTTGTGCACGCGTTGAAATCACATGGGAAATGCTGGCAACACTAACCGAACATACGCGCGACCGCTGAGAAGAACGCGCAATCAACATGTCCTACTCGATGTTCAAACACGGTTTCCTCGCGACTCGCAAGCACTTCGCTTCCGCCGAAAAGTTTCAATGTCCACTCTGGACTCATTGCCGAGACGTTCAAGCCTGACACAATCCGTTCAAGATCGACCGACGACAAGGGGGTTGGACACTCGGGTCGTTCCCTTGCCTCGCGACCCGTGAAGGGAAGGCAGGCGACTGCACCCCTGGCCCAGGGGAGTCGTATCGTGCGCCGTCTGACCCACGTCTTCTGGCACCCCTGTCGGGCCCTCAGAACACGAGCTGGTCGCACGTGCTGGTCGTATGGCTTTGCCTCGGGGGTAAGACTGAGCGGTAGCGGGCGTCAATCGTTGCAATGGACTGTGTCGGAGGGTGGGCTGTGCCAGCGTCGGTCATCGACTCTGGCTGGGGTGGCCCTCCCCTCTGGGTTGTTTGGTGTTTGCGCGTCGCTGTTCGATGTTACTTCGGTTGATTGGTTGCGCGTTTGTTGTGCCTGCAACTGCTGGCGGCGTCCCTGTGGCATCCGTCGTGTGCTGATGCAGGCCCCGCGCCTGGAATCGAGGGCGGCTTGGGCTGGCCTGGTCCTGCCATCTGTGGCGCCAGAGCGAGTCGCGTGCTCGCCTAGAGTCGCCCTCGGCCCGCTGGCGCCATTTCAGGGGGCCCACGCAGCACAGCGGTCTGCCCACCACCATCGTTTTGTTTCCCCTCCTCCAATTCGTCGGTTTCGGCCGGCCGTGCACCCTCGGTCATTTTGTGGCCAGCATGAGGGACACAGGGACGGAGACTGAGACGGTTATGGTTATGGTGATGGTGGTGGTGATGGTGATGGTGATGGTGATGGTGATGGTGATGGTGATGGTGATGGTGCTGGTGATGGTGATTGTGACGGTGCTGGTGTTGGTGTTGGTACTGGCGTTGGTACTGGTACTGGTGCTGGTGTTGGTGCTGGCGATGTGGTGGTGGTGGTGGTGGTGGTGATGGCCCGAACTGTGGCCCGAGAGCCAGACCTCCAACTTATTGGCAAAACTCTACGGATGACACCTGTGGGAGGGAAATATATCCATATCCACAGCCTTGCGGTCGGTCTGGGCTCCTCGGCCGCAACCATGGATACAAGGCGGTGTGGATGCCCCGCGCGGACAATATCCACAAGATCGCGTATAAATGGGATGGCGTCTCCGTGTTCATACCGCGAGGGTTGAGATATGCGATATGCATATGCTCGTCGTTGGTGAACTATCCCCGATAGGAAAACAACAACAACAACAACAACAACAACAACAACAACAACAACAACAACAACAACAACAACAACAACAATACACCTACACTGGTCCTGGCCATGCCACAGGCAGTCCTGGGCCCAGGATTTCTGGCCAGGATCCATGCAGGTGTATAGCTGTCGTGCCCCGACCTAGCCTCGAGGGCCCACCAAAAAACACGGCGCCCAGGTCTTCCTAAGCTCAGGCCTCTGGAATATCGCTTCGGCCTCTGGAAACATTTAAATTAGTGAGGGGGTCTCCTACAGCGACCATTAGCAGGCCATGGCTGTTAACTTTTTGGCCCGCGGAATGAAAACACAAAAAAACGAATTTGACAGACGAAGCGCCTTGAAATTTTCAAAATTCCGCTGAGCACTGATTTTTGCACGGCCTGTTTTGCCA